TGGTGGCTCCGAGGCTTTTATACTTCCTGATGCACACATGAAAGGCACCACAGCTCCCACCTTCTGCCGAATGGGCTCGCTGTGCCTTGGGATGGACATCTATCCGAATCTATCCACTGACGTTGGTGCACCTGCTCTGCTGCAACAGCTGAGCTGAGCAGGGCGCTGCAGCATGAAGTTGATGGTGTGGAACACGTTCAGCTTCACCGCGTGCTGGGCAATGCTGTCCTCAGTGGCCTGCGCAACTTGTGTCAAGCTGGCAGGTAAGTCTTCGTGGCTCCGGCCACGGCGCCGCACTGCGTGTGCCCCAGCACAAGGACCAGCTGGGCACCCAACTTGCCGGTGCAGAACTCCAGGCTGCCAACGATGCTCCTCAGAAATTCATGGAAGTTCGCTATAACTCGTGGGTGCATACACTGTGCATACTTCCAAACTTACATCATGCCCAGTCTAGTCAGTTACCTGGATCACCGAGCAGCATGAGTGCGGAGCACGAAGAGGTCTCTGGGCATCGCGTCGAAGACGGTGTTGACGGGCACTCGCGAGTCCGCACAGCCAAGGATGGCGCTGTGGGGCGCCTGGCCGCACTTCACCAAGGTCTGGCGCATGTCCCCTGGAAATAGTCGCTGCTGTGGGCGCGCCTGCAGCAAAGCGCTCGTTGCCCTGCTGCAGCAGCTTCAGTGCCGCCTCGGGCTTCACTGCAACGTCCGCCCCAGTACGGACGCCGTGCATGCCGTGGTCGGCTGCTGCGCCGCTCGACATGGAAGGTGGGCCTGCTGCGGGCTCCTCCCAGAACTCCACACAGCCTGTCTCCAGATCGTAGATGCCACCGTGGATCTCGATCTGACCGCTTCTCACAGCCTCACGGATGGACTCACTGTAGCTCAGCAGAAAGTTCATGGTGTGGAAGACGTTCACCTTGACCGCGTGGGCCGCGATGGCATCGGAGTCCGCGCCAGGACCCATTTCCTCCTGGGCCTGGTCCTGCAGAAGCCCTTGCAGCGCAGAGCCAGCTTTCTTGAGGGGACCCTGGGCATCCAGAAACGTCTTTGTGGCCCCATAGACAGCACCGCACTTTGTGTGGCCTAGGACCAGCACCAAGCGGCTGCCCAAATTGCCCGTGCAGAACTCCAAGCTGCCAACGATGCTGCCCTCTGCCTCAGCTGTTTGCAGTGTTTCATAGTGGTACTTCTGCAAACTGACACACCGTCAACAGCAACCGGCCCAAAAACATGTCAAAGCTGCGTGCGTGCAGGCTCCGTGCAGGTGTTGCCAGCGTTGCGCAGCACGAAGATGTCACCTCGTGCACGCGCGCAAGACAGAGTCGCGCGCCGTTTCAAGGTGGGAGTCATGCAAGATGCCAGCTACTGGGAGCGATCAAACTCAGAACTTCTAGTCTTAGTTCGCACATGTTCGCACAGGACGCCCATGCTGACTCTTGCGCTGCACAGCAAGATGTGTGAGTCATGCACCTGGCATGGTGTCGAAGATAGTCTCCAGGGGGGCGCGAGAGTCCGCGCAGCCAACGATCGCCGTGTGCGGGGCTTGGCCCTGCGCCACCAGCTCCTTGCGAATCACTGAGTTGGTGCGGTTGGCAAGCGGGCGCCCCTCCAGGAAGCGCCTGTTGCCGTCCTGCAGGCAGTGGTGCGGCTGTCGCCCGAAAACTGGCTCTGTTTCAAAGCAAAGCGCCTTGAGAAGATTGAGGGCTTCCTTGGGCCCCAGGGGCGGATCTGCGGCCGCGCGCGCCGGCCGCACGTCCGGGCTGCTGCACATGGTCAGGGCGCCCGTCAGCTGCGAGAAGAAAGACATGGCGAAGACCTCGCATCTGCAGCACACTTAGCAGACTTAGCAGCTCTTTCCGGACAAGCCCCAAGATTGTAGCTGCGGTAACACCAAAACCCTATCACCCCACAGTCTACCTCTGACAGCGCCTCTTCTGCAACTCGTGAATCAGTGGCAGTTCTGAAGTGCGAGTTCCT